CCAACGCATCTTGCAAGATAAACGCGCAAAAATCACGAGCGACCCAATTTTCGTTGGTGCAAAAGCTCGACGCACCACACTACACTAAAAGATGCACGCTACCGTAACCCTAAATTCAGACGCCTAGTTTTGAAAGTTTCTTTTCCTTTTCAAGAGTTTTTCTTCCGTGTTTTTGTTGTTTTTCGTATTCTTTTTCATCGCCATTGGCATTGCATGCCCACTACGGCGAGATGGATGTAAAGGAATTTGTGAGTCAGGGGTTGCACAGAGACCGCAGGAAGGGTGAGAGCGATTTTGTTTATGGTGTCCTTGAGAACTCTTCTTGCTCTTTTTTCTTCTTTGAGGAATTACTTATCAGCTGTTTCATAAATGAACGGCAATTATCCATAATACTTTTATCGCGGGAGCTGAATTGTAATAAAATCGAAGAGCGATTTTAATAAAAGCGAGCCTCTCCGCCTTCGCCCTCGCACTGTGAAAGCAACGTGAGACGGGGACAGTGGGAGAAAATGACTCAGTTTTTGTCCAGTCTTTCACTTCGTAACTACGCATTTTCTAATTTCAGATGACTATTACTTTTACGGTACGTGATGGATTTTATATTTTTCTTCTCCTGTCGGCGTAAGAACTTCCTTTTATCATCTTTTTTCTTCGGAGATATTACTTACCGCTGAGCCGGAAATGAGGAACATGTCTGCATATCTTACAGAATGCGATGAAGCTGTTGAGCAAGTGGTCAGCCGTGCCTCGGAAATGACTTCACTCAACCGTACCAAAATATTCATAGGTGTGTTTGGTACGGCAAGCTTCCGAACCCTTAAAGAAATGCCAGCATTTCAAGGTACATGGAACGTTAATGGTGGCAAAAACATAAACAACATTGCCTTTCGTAACCAGTCGAACATGGCCGATTGGATTTTCCCGAATGGGACGCTCGGTATGTGACTGTGAGCCGTGCCCTTCTCTTGTTTTGCTCTTTGCTGCTTGCCGTTCAATTCAAAATTCACTCTGGAACTAATCTTCTTCGACTGGGCGAAGATAAGGGAGATGCTGTTGCCCGATAGGGGTGGCATACAATCTTAAAGCTCTTGCCCATGCTAACCAAGTCTTTCACCCTATTCGGTCGGTTACGAAGACCAAATACACCTAGAAGGTCAACAACAGTGATTTTCACCATGGCTGACTGAAAAAGTCTTGCACAGGCCACATGCGCATTCAATAGTCTTTAGGATTCCGAGTGAATGTCGGTTGCGTAGCGTACCCCAACCTCGTTCACTACACCTTTGCGTATCGCTACGTCTCGCACTGAGTGCCAGAAGTGCATGAGCTGTTTTCATTATATCCGAGGGCACGTCGGGAGCTGAGGATCTGCAGCGGTGGGGGTCGTATTTAGTCGCTAGAAAAAGGGTAATATCGGTCCGACTTTTGTTCCTTCCCGCTCGATCGACGGCTTTCTTCCTGGAGAAACGCAGGAAAATTTTTGGGTAACTGGGAAAGGTAGTAGGAAGAATTCAAAAAATGGTGGTAGGTAGAATGAGGAGGGAGGGGGGGGGGTCGTACCAGAGAATAAAGAAGAAAATTCTGCAGTGAGCTGGGTCGCATTCTGCCATTTTCTTCCCAACGGCAGGAGGTGCCTCGTCAAAGATACACAAAGCGCAACGTTGCGTGCAAACTAGCGGGTAATTTCTGGCTGGTCATCTTTAAGCACTGTAGTGTTGCCACTTACAAGGGAATGGTTTGAACTTCCCATGGAACTTTGAATGGAGACCTAGGTACATCGATAGAGCCTCGAATGCTGATTACGAATATGCAGATTAAAAGTGCTACGGGGACCTCCCGAGATCTGGGTGGTCAAAGTTTGAGTTCTGGCTCGTAAGCGCTGCTGATCGATGCTTCGGCAGTGCCACCGTGGCCTCGTGGTAATGGTCTCGCTTTCAAGTCAAACGCATGCGGGTTTGCATCCGGTTGGCGCGAAAATTTTTGCTTCGCTCCGTATAAGAGCTTCAACTCTAATTTTCGAAATTCTTCCGAATTTACGGCCCAGCAGGGCAAGTAGATCAAGTACATCACGTACTCGATCTAGTATGGATTTGGTCATATCTGCCCTCTCTGAACATATTACCCATCCGACAATTCAAAGTTTTGCCCAGAATCGCAATTTGGCCAGACGAGCGTTTTTTCGTCGAAGGATGTGATATTCGTGTTCAGGGGGTCGAAATCTCCCATGAACGAATTTCTCGCTAAAACTTTGAATTGTCGGATGGGTAATATGTTCAGAGAGGGCAGATATGACCAAATCCATACTAGATCGAGTACGTCGTACTTGATGTACTTGATCTACTTGCCCTGCTGGGCCGTAAATTCGGAAGAATTTCGAAAATTAGAGTTGAAGCTCTTATACGGAGCGAAGCAAAAATTTTTTCGGATGCAAACCCGCATGCGTTTGACTTGAAAGCGAGACCATTACCACGAGGCCACGGTGGCACTGCCGAGGCATCGATCAGCAGCGCTTACGAGCCAGAACTCAAACTTTGACCACCCAGATCTCGTCTGGGAGCACTTTTAATCTGCATATTCGTAATCAGCATTCGAGGCTCTATCGATGTACCTAGGTCTCCATTCAAAGTTCCATGGGAAGTTCAAACCATTCTCTTGTTAGAAAAAGTTGTATCCTTGTACGAAGGTCACACCCGTGATCCCCTAGCAAGGTCTGTTTAGCGTTTTCAATGCGTTGCGAAGTGCAAAATGCGCTTTTCAGAGCAGTTTTCCCCCAAGGTAGACTCTACACTTCTTATTGTTGGGCGAAGGTAGTGTTGCAATAAGTGGCACGCTTAGCACGTGCGCGTCCCGAGTACCAAATCCCGGATCGGCTCCTGCTGAGGCGAACCAAGCCTTCTCCCACCACCACTCCCCCCCCCTCCTCCAGGGAACAGTAAATAGGTACCAGAATCGTCTGGGAGGATATGAACACTGACTTGTACATCGGCTGGCCACCGCAAGTCACATGCATTCAGTGGGCCTCTACGATTCTGCACGAAGAAGAATGCGTGCAGCATCCCTGAAAGGGAATCATCAGTAGCGAAGAATTTGTCCTTTCTCCTTTATGCCTACTATGAGCTTACTTTTAGTGACTGTTGATCATGTGGATGAAGCTCCAGAAATTATCGCGATTGGGCTCGAAGAGTTGGTTGATCTCAATGCTTCCAATCTTATGAAAGCCAGGTAATATTGATAACACCCTCCCACACGCACATCTTCCTCCCCTCATATAAGTGCGATAAATTCGTTGTATGTAGCACAACAAATCAACGATTGTGGGCCGAAGGAATTCGACGGGTACTACACGAGCACGGCTCATATACTCTTCTAGTCGTTGAACAACTGGTAATCAAAAGCACTAGTGATACACTACCAAAAGTTTTTTAAATTCCTCTCGAATTTTTCTAGGTTGGTGTTTGTCTATTTGTTTTCGTGCGGCCTCAGCTCGTGCCCTTCGTCAAAGATTTTGCAGTCTCCTCAGTTAAAACGGGTATGGGTGGAGCTACAGGCAATAAGGCTCGTTTATTTGTGTTTAAACTATTCTTTTTTAAATAGGAAGCATGAAATTGACTTTTTTTAAACGGTTTGTTTTCCAGGGTTCGGTGGCTTTTCGCATGGTTGTTCATTCTACGAGTATCTGTTTTGTATGTTCACATTTTGCTGCTGGTCAGAATGAGGTTAGTGGGGTCTCGCAGCTTGAACCAACTTTCTGTTTGTCAGTTCTAGATGGGAGAAATTTTTTCAAACGATCAAATTGTCTATAACAGAACCACGGGTAACAAAAAAAAACAGATTTTTTTGCATTGATTTTCATAATATTACGGCTGTCGGGCTTTACTTGACTTTTTAAGTGTTGGTATTGAGCATCGCCTGACAAGCTTATTCCGTGCTCATCGTGTGGGCGGAGCTACGCATGATATACCACCTTGCTTGTTTCGCTCTCCCCTGCTCACCATCTCAGACAGAAAGAGCGCGCTCATCATAAAGGCACATTGATAGGCCCCACTCCGCCCGTACATACAACGAGCGTGACATGTGCCTATGACGACTTTAATGGCAAAAAAAGTCTTAGCTTCACAGTATTTCTGAAAATTACTATGCTTTAGGTGAGGGATCGTAATGAGGACTTTACATCGGCTTTCCGTAGAATAAAGTTCCCTCATGGAAGAGATATCGATTCACACGATGTCGTATTCTGGTTCGGAGATTTTAACTACAGGTATATGAGCGAAATCATCTTCTCTTACTCTTTTTCAAAGAAAAACCACGGAGCTTCAGGCGTAGAAGTATTGTGAGAAAACCCCCGTCAAAATTCCCCAAAATATTCGAAATTGGGTGTGCGTACTTGATAAGCTGTGCAATGTGGGGCCTAGCTTTCTCACTCTTCTTTCAATATTTCCCAGTTGCAGTCCCCTCAAGTGGGGGTTTTGAAAGGATATAATCGGTAGTCGTATAATGAACTGGCACCGATAACACAAAGATATGAAATTTCTATTTGCAGGATAAACTTAAGCGGAGATGATGTGAAAAAAGCTGTTTATTCCGGGGATTTGGAGAGATTGTGGGCGTTTGATCAGTTGCTACAGCAGAAATCGCAAGGCATGGTGAGTCTCTACCAGTGTTTCTTGTTCGTTGGTCAAATGACTTCAAATTCTGTTGGTGTCTCTAAAAAAACTGAAAACTGGATCAGCATACTGTAGGTCATTCGAGTTCGAGTCATGGATCACACATCGTCCTACTCTATATAATCCGCTAAGTATGTCTGTGGTGTGTGTGTGTGTGTGTGTGTGTGTGTGTGTGTGTGTGTGTGTGTGTGTGTGTGTGTGTGTGTGTGTGTGTGTGTGTGTGTGTGTGTGTGTGTGTGTGTGTGTGTGTGTGTGTGTGTGTGTGTGTGTGTGTGTGTGTGTGTGTGTGTGTGTGTGTGTGTGTGTGTGTGTGTGTGTGTGTGTGTGTGTGTGTGTGTGTGTGTGTGTGTGTGTGTGTGTGTGTGTGTGTGTGTGTGTGTGTGTGTGTGTGTGTGTGTGTGTGTGTGTGTGTGTGTGTGTGTGTGTGTGTGTGTGTGTGTGTGTGTGTGTGTGTTTGACCGGAAATTCATAACTTCCTTCAAAACAGCGATAGAGCTCAAATTGATAAGTGATGTAGGGGTTGGGCAGGAACACTATTGGATGGGTGGCAGGAAGTGATAAGAGCTGATAAGAATGATAGGGAGTCTCAGAAGGGGAGGGTCACCAAATTCATAGCGCGGGCCACAGCGACGGAGGGACATTGGTTTCAAAAAGTATGATAGGAGGCGGATGGGAACATAATTAGTGGGTGGCAGGAAGATACCATAAGATGCTGATGATAAGATACCATAAGAGGCCTTACAGGTAGAGTCATCAACTTCTGAGTTGCGTCACACCGACGATAGGTTGTTGATTCCAAGTACCCTGTTACGACTGAGCTTGACAACCGGGGTCCAAGAGTCGATGGTCAAAGCTTATCGTTAATGAGCCAAGCACTTTCTCTAGCGATATAGTCGCAGTCGATCCGACCGCTAACTGACTCGAGTTCCAACAAAAAGTAAAAGCCTGGAGTTGTTTGCCACTGAGAGAATGATAAGAGGTACCAACAAACCGATATGTAAAAGCTTCTCGACGGGAGTACTAGGATGTAAGACATTTCAATATAATCTCGATATTTGAATTCTTTCAACCGCTGAGCGTCCTATTTCGAACGAATGGTGGGTGTTTTTAGAAAGTGTGATAAGCATCAGACATTGGCAAATGTTCATTAAAAAAGTAAAATATGATGGAATGGGCCGTATTTGAAATTAAGTCAAGTGTTAGTGGTCAGCACAGAAATTCTGTCAGTAGTCAGTACCATAGTTGGACGCGCAGTAGTGCGCGTCTGCCAGACTTGTACTCATAATCCCCGAAAACGAGAGGACATGAACGATTAAGGAATGGAGGGTTGCCAAGGCGCTCTTTTTCACCTGTGATGCCATCCTGGGACCGCAGTAGTTGGCCAAGAGGACTGTCCTGCCTGCGCTCCGGTCTTCGCCCCTTCACAAGCCCTACCGCTTTCAGGCATCATGACTGTTCATGCAGTCCATAGCTGGGACAGTGGAGCAAACTTCTCCTTGAGATAGAGATCCCATGGCAAGTGGCTGGAAGAGGGATCGGCGGCGTGCCAACATCCGAGTGCCTTCGGCAGAGTGTAGCGCACGGAGAAGGAGGATTTTACTCTGGACGGAAGGTGTAGCATGCGACCTCCAAACGCCTTTCAACTACGTGTCCACCCCTCCTTGCTTCTCTCTTCCTCTTTTTCCTCCACTCTTCTGCTCTTCTCCATTTTCCCCTCCAGAGCTTGAGCCCCATAAGTCAAGGGAAATGCCCTTGAACCTTCGCAGCGAGAGGAATTTCAGCTGACACGTGCCTGGAGTCAGCGTCTTATCTCCTCTCACAACCTATCCGCTTTTTCCGAACTTATGGCAAAAGCTGTTATTGTTTACAATTTCGTCGTTACTGTCGAATACTTCAGGTTGTAGCCAATTGAAGAAATTCTCTTCATGGAAAAGAATGATTAGAAAGCAGTGATAATTCAATGAGACTTCTTCGTTAACTTTAACACTTTTCTGGGCACCTAAGACAAAATGGTGTGAAGTTGCTCTTTTGAATTCTTCTCTATTGTTTTGATGGCTGTTCCAGGTGTTCCAAAACTTCCATGAAGGCAGTCTTACATTTCCTCCAACATACAAGTACGACACGTTCTCTGATGATTACGATACTAGTGAAAAGTGCCGTGTTCCCGCCTGGACAGATCGGGTACTGTGGAGAGAAAGGCGGGACCCTAAGAACACAAAGTTGATACGGTAAGCGAAATCATCTCTATTATTAGGTTGTCCGGAAAGTTCTCAGCGTTTTGGGTGTTTCACTTTAAACGATCGTAACTTTTTTAATACTCATCGGATTTAATCGAAATAGGCACCATTCGAATCAGCACACTTTTGCCAATGTGACAGCAGTCGAGAAATCCCATCAAAGTAAAAAACTGGGTGGTCGAAAATTCACGAAATCCACTAAGGCTTTTTTGCCTGGTCCTGATTGATGAAGTATTTTCCAGCAAGGGAGTTCTGAAAATGTTGAAAAGGTGATAGTCGGTTGGCGAAAGGTCTGAAGAATATGGCGGTTGAGGTAGAACTTCAACCCCAATTCGTTCAATTTATGGATAGTGATTTGTGAAACGTGTGGGCGGGCGTTGTCATGCAAAGGAATCGGACCCTTTCTTTTGATAAGTGTTGGCTGCATCTGACAAAATTTTCGGTACAATTCGTCGATTTCTTCACAGTAGGGTTCTGCTGTGATGGTTTGGCCTGGTGATAAAAAGTTATAGTGGATCACACCAGCCGATGACCACCAAGCCGTGACCAGAATCTTTTTTCGTGAGGGTTCGGCTTTGAAAATTACCTCGGTGGTTCGTCGAAATCCAACCACTGTCCGGAACGTCTCCTGTTATCATACATGACCCATTTTTCATCACAGGTGACAATTCGGCCAAAAACAGGTCGTTTCTGCTGCGCAAAAGCAATGCAGAAGGAACCTCGAGACGTGCCGATTCCTGCCGGTCACTCCGATTGTGGGGCACCCAATTGTCGAGTTTTTCACCTTCCCAATGCGTTCCAGACCATCTGCAACAGTGGATTTGCCAAGGCCTAGCTCTTCTGCTATCTCTCGAACTGTTTGGGATGGGTCAGCCTCCAAAATCCCCTAAAATCCTCGTCAGATATTGCTTTAGGTCGACCGCTATGAGGTTCATCTTCAAGGCTGAAATCTCCAGAACGAAATTTGTTGAGCCATTGCCGCACAGTGCTTTCTCTAGCACTATTGGGCCCCCACACCTGGTTAATTTGTTGAGCTGTTTCGATTGCGGATTGCCCCAATTTATAGTCGAAGAAAAAAATCGTCCGAAGTGCTCTTTTCACATGCTTGAAAAAATCTTGAAAAAAGGGGTTTATCAAGCAATGGTGAAACGGCAATTATATCAGATAGCGCAAGAAATTCTCTACAGGATGTGCTACTGAGAAGCAAGGCAGAATGAGTTTTTAATCAGCAGTGAATGTACAAAAATAGGTGCACAAAACGCTGAGAACTTTCCGGACAACCTAATAGTTCGCTGCAGACGGTTGGACGTGTCAGGCAGTATGAGTGTGTCACGCCGTCTAAGCCGTTCTCTGCCTTCTTGTTGAAGCGCGCATGCGACAAAAAGTGGTAGAAAACGAGTAATACGAACGATATGATACAGTCATATCATTTGCTCGCTTTAACAACTGGTGGAGAACGGGTTTGGCACCGCGCCAAACCCATCGCGTCTGACACGCCCAGCCGCCCGCAGCGAACTACACTTACTCAACGGTTAATGGAAGGAGTTGATAATGTGTTTTAGGTATTTCCGCTCGGAACTGAAAACGTCCGATCACCGACCGGTTGGAGCCCTCTTTTCAGTGAATGTTTTTCGTGTTGATCAAACGAAGTGCTTAGAACTTGTTGAAGATGTTGTGGCGTGAGTTGATACTGCACTTATTGAGGACCTTTTTTGCGTCGGCTCTCACCATTATATACAAGGCAACGAAGGAACACATACAGCTTCCACGAGAGACTCGGCTGCGAGTAGGCGAGAGTCTAGCGACCGGTGAGATAACAGAGACCAAAACACAAGCACTCGAATTTACTCTGAAGAAGGGGGACTGGTCGTCGGGGCGTGCCTACGTCTGCAAAATAGGTCCTAGTACTTTTTGCAGAGCTGTGAGCCGAGTCGCTGCATCTGCAAACCAAACTATCTGCCTTTGCTTCATGCTATGAAAATTCGTGTGGCGGAGGCGGTGTGGTAGGAAGTAGCACGTCTACCACACCATCTCCGCCACATGAATCGGATGAAGGGTACGAATCGGGGCTCGAGGTATGGGGGGAGGGGGGTAAAATCACGGATCGACTCCCATCTGAGCCAAGCAAGCCTTCCTCCTTTCGGGACCGTATGGTGCCAGATTTGTCTAGGAAGATAAGAACACTGACTCATACATCGACCCACAGCTGCAAGATCCTACTATATATAATCCGCTATGTGTGTCTGTCTGTGATTGCCGTTAATTGCCTGAGCTACTCACATTGCGCGGTAGTGGTCGAATCATAACAGATAGAGTAACCTAGCGAAATTCTGCACCTCTCAGATTTGCGGAAAGCGTCTGTGTTGCACAGTAGATGAACACATTCCGTTTTTATTACCTGCATCACAACACCAACGATGGGCGATTAACTTGTCATTAACATGCAATCCACCTGCTAAGGTTGCATGAATGGCTGCAGATGACAATATGTTCATTGAATATCTTACAAACTACTTCGTTATACGTTCTCATCAGTGATTTAAAGTTGAAAAGCAAAAAAAAATATTTAAATACTCACTGAACGCATAAAGTGTGTTCCAATATTGGAGTTTTTGATTTCTCCAAACTTCCTGTTTCAGGCGAAGTATATACCCCCCCCCCTAGTGGGATGAGTATTTTCTAGTGCTATCAGAGGAGTGATGGCTGTGGGAAAATTTCGCTTACTGAGAGGCTTTTTTGGCAGTGTAGTGGTCAGAGATGTCGTGAATGTCCCCTTATCTTTACTTATCAATTGATAAAATTGCTTGTCACCCGTCATCAATGTCGCTATCACTAAAACTCCATAATTTCGTGGTGTAGAGGCTCCAGCATTTGATTGAACAACAACTGCATCGTTCTCTATCAGGCCCTATCAGCTGTTATCATTTCCTGTCACCCGCCGTCGCCTTCTCCACCTTCCCCTTGATATCATTTGCTGAAATCAACGCCTAACTGATGCTGTGTACCGCGTTATGAGTATGTTGTCCTTTCCACTCTAACTCCCTTTATCAGCGGCTAGCAGTTCTTGTCACCCACATATTCCTGTGCCATAACCTATATCATACCTTGAAAAAACGCCCCAGTGTTCCAGTCGGACCGTCCCTCTGCTTCCTTTCCTTGCGCATGCTCAGATCGGGCTGAGCACGCGCAGAGGAAGGAAGCAGAGGAGAAGGGGGGGGGCACTGGGCGTCCCCCCCCCCCCCATCGGCTCCACCCCACCCTGCCCCCGCACGAGCACACGTCCAGCTGCCACGCCAGCAGCTCGTGCAATGGCTCGGAGCGTACCGAATGGTTGTCTTATATAGCGGAGGCCGATATCACGATCAAAACATTGGATTGATACTTCCGCACCAATCGGTTTCCGGTTTGTCAGCGGTCGTTTTCTCCTCCCGCTAACTCAACCGTGAAGCATTTGCGGACGGACAAACATACATACATACAGACCGACAAACCGACACACAAAACTTCTGCTTTATAGAATAGAAGGATGTCAACGAGCGGAGGGGAGGGAGCGCGGGGGGGGGGGGGTGGTATGTAGTTCGCGTGAAACAGGAAACTCAGGGAACTTCGAGAAGAACCGAAAACCTAGATAATGAGGCACTTAAGCGTTCAATAGCTTTTTTTACTTCGAATCTTTCAATTACTGATGACAACGAATAATAAGGGAGTATAATACCTACAATTATTTGTAATTCAGCAAGCGGGTTGCATGGTAGTTGAAAAGGGAAGGGTTAGTCGGTAGGCATTTCGGTGCAGTTCAATGAAAATGGAATTAGTTCTTCTACTGAAAGATTCATATTGCTCTGTATTGGCCGACTGCACATTGTATCTATATCTTCAGATTTATGTATTGTATGGGCGCTATGGCGCGAAGCACACCCCTGCTACAAATATAAGCGTGTGCTTAGGAAAGCAAAATCCGCAGCGTTGCTCTGTTACGATTCGATCACTACAGCGCTGTATGAGCAGCCCACTATCGAAAAAGTTGCGTTTCAATTATGTGCGCCTGGCGAAGGCAGGCCAGCTCGGCGAAGCCGAGCTAAAGAGAAGGAGGAGAGCTCGGCGTCAGCCGAGCGATCCGACTGGGCAGCATTCCAGAAAAAGGTCTGATCAGTGGGGGAGAGTACACTTTAATTTTATCGCGAGTCGTGCTAGCAATGGTTACACGGACATTATGGTTGCACGGTAGCCTCATGTGTCAGGACATAGCATGTCACATTGACAGGTTTGGAGGAACACGTCGGCAGAACACTCTGAGGATGAATTCCCCGCGCCGGTGTAACCACTTCTGCCACGCACCAGCATGGCCCCAATTGCTACACAGATCCTTGAGAGTGGTTGACCTCGTTGAGAGAATCATTCGTACGGACTACCTTTAAAGCGAATTCTCCAGAGTTAGACTGTCATTAATCACTCTTTATAAGACACATTCAGATGCCTTGGACCACCAGACAGCACAATCATCTGCTCGCTCGAAGGAACCCAGCGATTTCCCATGGCCGCTTTCCCGCAGATTGTCGCGAAACTTAAAGAGATCCCAGCACGTATCTGTCTCAGCAAGTAGGTTTCGTTGAATGCCACTGTTTCATTATATTTCGGCGCTGAACGCGTTGGACAGATGCGCATACGGAGTTCTGCTTTTTTAAACATCACTGTTTGAAGGTTCGAAGATGATGAACTGCATATTTTGCTGGAGAATGGAGAGGTAGCTTTAGCTGCACTGAGCATGGATGGTATCAATCTCGGTATGTCCCACAGGTTTCATCACTATTCTGTGGATCGCTTTTTCAAACGAACACCATCCACCCATTCTAGATGGACACAAATTATCGGTGCGTTTGCGATCGCCCGATTGGACTGACAGCTTGCAGCCTAAATTGACGAAGTTCGCGTCTTCACTGACTTCCAGTGACACAGTTTCTATCCAGGAGTGTGACCTCACTATAACGAATGGAGTCGATTTCGAACTTGATGGTTTGTTCTTGCCACTATACTAGGTAACAGTGGCTACAAGTACTAATACCTTTGACGCGCACTGTGAGCATATTGCTCGTAAAGCTAACTCAATGGTCTATGGATTGTTCAAGGCGACAAAGAATTCCATAGTATTGTTGCGGGCTTTTAGGACGTACATCAGACCTGTCCTATACGGCACACCTATTTTCAACCCCTATAAGGCGAAAATGATTTCGTTGCTCGAAAAAAGTCCAAAATCCCTTCACGAGGAAGTTGATGATAAGAGTTTCAGGCTTTCTTGTGAAGGTATACCCTCTAGCATGGAGAGAAATGAAAATTTCAATATGCTCACTCTGGAGGTGAAGAATATTTGACCTGATTCTTTTCCACGAGGTCCTTGAAGGCAAATGCGGTCTTGATGCCAACCAGCTCTGTGGGCTGCGGCCATCAGTGACTAGAGTAGCCCTCTCGAACATCTACATACTTCCCGCGCTAGGCATAATTTCCGATGGCACTTCTTTACGATTAGGGCTGGTACTGATTACCTCAAGCTGAAGAGAAATAGATCGTTCTCCCATAGTGTAAATGCTTTCAAGTATGCTACACCAGCGCCAGAGTGCTGGACGTGCTTGGGACGTACGTAGGTACTGCGACCTCCCCCCCGCTCGACAGCAAAATTTTGTAAAAAAACCAGAAATTTTTTGGGAAAAATAGACAAAGTGGTAGGAGGTTGGAAAAAATTAGGGAAGAGGTAATAGAGGGGGTCGTACTTGAAGATGGAATTAGGGGGAGGTCGTATTTTTTAGGAAATGATTACAACGCAATGGTGTGCCCTGTCTCTGGGCTGCAAAAACTTTGCTGATATTGTGACTCGATCGAAGTGACTTTTTTTGCCCCCCCCCCTATATATATATTAGGTCATCCCATTCAAAGTGGCCGACACATATAGAGGAATGGCAGAAAAGCAAAGGGGATAGAGCAGCGGGCTACTATACCATTTGGAAGCTAGTACCTTAAGCTGTGTATCTGTGAAATTTGGCGAACCTAGCCTCTAAAGAAGTTCTCGAGAAATTGAAGAGAAGCCCGAGTGATGAAAATCGGCGCTGGTTTTTCAAATCAGACGTCATAAAAGGAAAGTGCGCTGCTCAAATTTGACCTGCGCCGGACCATAGTTGTGTGTAAGGGTGTTCTCGAAATACACGGTGGAAGATTTGGTTCAGGAGCCCGTACAAGGAAGAAAGGAAAAAATTTGTTGTCGTGGGTGGTCCCATAATATTCATCCTGCACAAGAAAAAACGGCGTGTGACTGTTGGATGAAGTCAGGCACTGAATATCTGATCACAGAGCCTGGACCCTTGTCGAGCCCGCGCGAGTCTGACATCCCAGCTGCAACTGCTGCCCGAGTTATGTCCGATAAACGGAGGATGGTCAAGAGGGTGGCGCATGGGTACCCAATTTTCTTATAGAAGCACGAACGCAGTACCGATTCTATACCTCCAGCAGTAATGTTCTCAGCATGAGATGTCACTCACAACGCTGTTGCAAAACGCACCCCAGCCCTAGATGAAATATGGGTGGTCTCGGACCTCAAGCCGAAACTCACAATCGTCAATTTTCTATGAATGCAGGTGAGAAGCCGCCGAAATCTACATGAAGGAGTTACGTCGGGCTGCGTTAAGTGGCTGATCATCATAGCAAAGGATTCCCACACTGTGGCTTTCAAGCGGCTCTATACAGAGAACAAATCCGTCACTGTCGGTGCATATTGCCTGTTCCTCGGCATTCAGATCGACAAATGGATGCTACCACACAACTACAAGAAGGCCACCGTTGCTCGTCATAGTACCAGACCCCGTAACTGTATTGTAGATCAGTGCTGGGACACAAACAATACTGAGACCTGAGTTCAATCGTCCCATTCGCCCGTCATAAAGCCATGCGATTACAACTGTTCTATTCAGTAGAGAGTACTCTTCGACGGCAGACGCTACAATGTTTTGTCATTTGCCGAAATTGGCAACAACAGCAATTTACTCACACTTGTTGAAAAATCGAAGGTACCAGAGGTCCAAAGGCCCTCGGGGCACTGGGAGCGGGTCATTGGTGAAGGAGGGATTTACTCATCCTAAAGCTAAAATATCACTTTTCTATTTATTTTCTCCTCTTTGTTTTTATTTTTCAAAAAAGACATTCAGGCCACTTTGAATCGGGTGACCGAATACCATTACCGTTGACAATCCTTGCAACTCCTTCTTAGGAACACTGCTTGCCATGTATAGTGAGTGTTCGGCTGCAAGGGCATATTTCTCGTGTTCGGGGCGGGCCGCGCCCGCGTTTTGTTCTGTCATTGGCAGCGTCCTCATCTCTAAATGTTATGGCGGCCGACCTCATCCTCGCGCTTACTTTCTTATGGAAGCGCGGGGCACAATTGGGAAAGAGATTTCGGTTCCCCGTGCACATAAGCGCGGTGCTTTGTCTCTTAGGCTGCGTTCATACATTGCGCCCACCAGCGTCCACCAGTGTTTTGAGCGTTCGGTAGCGTCAGCGACTGGGAAAGTATAGATATCGGTCTAGCGTCTACTAGCGTCTACCAGCGTGCACCAGCGTCTCTCAGCGTTCGCCAGCGTCTACCAGCGTCCACCAGCGTCTCGAGGGTCTGGGAAGTATAGGTATCAATCTAGCGTCTACCAGTGTGCACCAGCATACACCAGCGTCCGCACAGCTGGTAGAGTATGGGAAATAGGAGGGTGGCAGACTGTGGCAGAGAGTATTGCGCGATAGGAGGGTACCAGCTGTCTGCTTCCTGCAGCGCCATATTCTCCTCTCCCGGACGGTGGTGCATGCTGGTAGACGCTGGATCGACAGCTATACTTCCCTAGCCCTCGAGACACTGATGGACGCTGGAGAACACTAACAGACACTGGCAGCCGCTAGATGAATATCTGTACTTTCCTAGTCGCTGACACTGCCGGACGCTTGGAACGCTGATGGACGCTATTGGTCGCTGGTGGACGCTGCCGCGAAGTATGAACGCAGCCTCACATGGACCCCTTTGACCAGTTTTACTTTTTAACATTTTCCAGTGCTAAGTCATAGCTTTTATCGCGATAGCATTTTATGATCCAGTTATTGATGACCAGTTATTTTATTTGAATGGAATTATAATTGGCATCCAAGTTTTCTGTTTAGATAATGACGATGATGCACTTTCCGATAGATCAGGGACCGACAGCGGTATTGGTGGGGTTGAAGACTTTGCGCCGAGGTGAGTGATTTCCACTGAGTTTCAGAGCTTTTTTAATGGTCACAACTTCATTCCAGATGTACGGCTGTTCCACTCCAGTCTGCGAGTCTCGAGCCGATGAACATTCCAGTGAGGCAAGCGCCGGTACCACCTCCTGCGCTGCCAAGTCGTCCTCAGGCTCCTGTTATTCCTCCACGACCTAAGGGTTACAATGTCTGAGAAGCGTAACTAATAGAACAAGTAGCAGAGTGTAACTGATAGCTGTGATAATATCATTGTAGACTGTACAGTATATCGGTTAGTTTAGTAGCGGGAACCAACTCGTTCTGGTGCTTCACGCAACTAAACAGAATATAGAGAAAAAGCTTTTATCAGGGTTGCTTTGTACATCACTTTGAAAACATTCCACTTTGATACAGTATTTATTTAATAAATAATTATTTATTGTATTTTGTACCGTTGACGACGGCATGATCAATCATCTAGCAATTAAGTTACATCCTGGTCTCAATAAGCATACGGTCACGATCCTTGCAAACGATAGGGCGTGCGGCGCGGCGCGTATGCAGCACAGCCAGGGCGCCTTTTTTCCACCAGCGGTGCCATCCCGAACCCGTTGCACCGTTGCAGGAAAATGGAAAACTTCACCATCGCTCACCAGCAGTTCTTCTATCAATGCCCTCCCCCCCACTCCCTCAAACCAGAATCGGCTGGAACCAGAACCTCTTGCTACGATGTCATCAATTGTCCCAGTTTCGGTTAGGAATCACAGGTGTTCCCGACCTGCTCTCTATATGATTTGGTGGTGCAAACGGCTCAGCTTGCGACGACGCATGCTATGGATTTGGTGCCTCTCTTTTTCTGAGCCCCCTGATTAGTTCAGCTATTATCATTTCACCAGTGTTTGTTATCATCCCCCCTCACCCCTCCCCCCTTCCCGCCTCCCCCTTATC